TGTACATCACCGGGTGAGGGAAACTCAGTCATCAGACCTATGGTTTTCAAACATTGGATCTTCTGTTTTGTGCCCACTGCCATCCCATCACTTTGTTGCCATGTCATAATCTGGGTGTCCTGAATCTGATCATGGATCAGTTGTCCTGTCCCAACAAGATTCTTTCTGCAGAGTTGTTGCCTTTGGATTTGCCTGTCTTTTTTTTTTTTTTGGTTCTGTGTGCTCTGTGGGATACCCCAGATTTGGACTCTTTTGCCACTCTTCTGAATACAGCATGGCCAGGTGGTTATGGCGTTTGGCTCACAATCTGATGGTCATGGGTTCAATTACTCATCCCACCAAACATGCTCACCCCTTTCAGCCATGGGGGCACTGTAAAGTGATGGTCAACCCCATTATTCATTGGTAACAGAGTAGCCCATGAGTTGTTAGTGGGTGGTAATGACTAGCTGCCTTCTCTCTAGTCTTTCACTGCTAAATTAGAGATGGCTAGTGCAAATAGCCTTTGTGTAACTTTGTGCAAAATTCAAATAAACAAACAATTCACCACTTTTTCGATTTTGGTCTCCTGTTCCTCATCCTCTAGCAGGAGCAGTCAATGCTCTCAGTCGGGATTGGTTGGGTTAGTACCTATATGCATATCCTCCAACTCATTTCCTACCACATGTCCTTTCTGTACTTCAGACCACTCTGCATAGTGTTCTGTTGATGGTTACATATTGGCCAGTTCGCTCACATGGTTTCCACTGCTGTGCCAGTTTTTGGTGTCACCTCCCTTTCTCTTCCATTATTTCTGACACTCCCCCATCAGCCACACTCCAGCATGCATCATCCATCCATACCTGCACTCCTTCTTCACATGTGGCTTCCTTCATTTTCCATCCTTTTTGTTCCATGGTGGCTTACCTATGTACATGGTACACGTACCACTTTTGGTCTGTTTTAAGAGGTTATCGTCCTTCCCATCCTACTGTTCTTTGCAAACTATCTTTTTATTGACATGGTTTTTTGAACAAGGCCTTTCGATTTCCTCTGTTGTGGGCTATAGGGCAGTGTTATCTGCCACTTTTTGGTTTAATAACTTTGCTTCTGTTTTCCAGTTGCTAATCTTATCCATGTTGTTTCTTCCATTTTCCCAGCCTCCCCACCATGCTTCCCTTCCTGAGTAGCATCTCTATGTGGTCTTCCCTGTCCTCCATTGAACCTTTTATCTTCATGTTCTTTAAATCTCCTTTCATTGAAGCCTCTTTTCCTGCTCTTGTGTTTTCGATTGATGTTCACCACATTTTTGTTTTCTTAGTTCCTATGTTCTCCTCTTTCCTGATCACTTTTTTTATGCTCAAAACAGGCTGCTCAAGATGGTACTTCTCCCTTCCCTCCTTTTCCCATCTTTATTACCCTGCCGATCACTCCCACCTTCTTTGCCCAGTTAGGGCTCTCCAACGGATATGACATGTAATGCTCCATTTGTTTCTTCCTTGAAATCCTCACCTCTCCCATGACTTTTTTCCCATTACCCTTTCGAGTTGAGTTTGACAGTTAATTCACATCTGTTTCTCCGATGATTGTTGCCTTTTTAATGTTTTCTTCACATCAGATCCATCACCTTACTATATCCCTGGCTGCACATTTCCATCTTCCCTTGCGGGCATCATCAGTACTGTAACTGTTTATCTATGGGTGGTAAGTACTCCATTCATTTTTTTTTCTTTGCAGGAGCCTTTATTGCATATCTGGATCCCACTCTGTGGTGAGTGTTGCCTGACCAGGTATACTTAGTCTTAAATCCACACTGTACGACCTGTGATCACATAACGTGCTAGATGACTGTGACATTGAGGCTCTGCCTACCGCAGACCTGACGTACAATTCCAGGTGTCGCCAGGTGTTGGTTGATTGACTCCCTTAACGTGATCACTCTGCTTTTCAAAATAGAGTATTGTGGTAACCCATTGCACCATCTCCAATGCATTTTTTCCTCCTTCTTCTAGTGGAGTATGAGAGTCCTCACACTTACCAATTCCTAGACACTGGGGTGGTGGATCATGGAGGCCAGTCCTCTTGAGTGTGCGTTGAGAGTAGGGGTAGTAGCATTCTGTTGTATAGATGGCGTGAATCCCTTTCTGCTGTGGACCTGATGTATAATTCTAGATGCAGCCAGATCTTGGCTGTAGCACACCACCACATATTGCAGTTTACCTCTCTAACTGATGCACCAGATGCCAGTTACTAGGGGTAGGGTGTTGGATGGAGCCAGACCAGCCACATAAGTCCTCACGTGTGTGGATGGTACCCTCCTCCTACCATGGACTCAACTATAAATTCCCAATGCAGCCATGTTTTAGATGGCAGATGCAACCCCAAATAGTGGTCCCTAATCGTATTGTTTCCTGGATGGATGTTAGTTCATTGTGGATCTGGTGTTGGACAAGACACATGACTTCCTGCATGTGTAAGGGTAGGTACCCTTCTCCTAATATTTGAATGGACGAAAAATTCCCAATGCCGGCCAGGTTCTGGACCAGAGAGTGCTCTTCACAATCCACCAGAATACTATAAAGACTGACTATACCATACACACACTGAGCTGAATACTAAAGGTGGAAGACTTTCAAAACATTGTCCTCTACGCTTGTTTCTACAACAGACAGTTGCTGTCCATTCAACTAAGTTTCATCATGAATACTCTGTCTAAACAATCTATCAAAGAATACATATCTTGTTATTTAAGTATGGCATCCATGTTTTACTCTTTGATGTTGTCAATTCTCTCAACACGGGCTTAGTGAATTTGACCAACCACATGACCTCTTTGTACTTAATTAAAGTCTTTATACATTTAATACTTGTAACTTTCAATATAGTATATATATCTTCACAAAATTTGTCAGTCTTTCAGTTCATATAATAAATTTTTCACATGCAAAAAATCTTATTTTTTAGTGAAGTATTTTTAAATATAGATTTGTCCATGAATATATTGAGTATTTGTTTTGAATTGTCTGTGTGCAAAGTAATTTTCATGTTAAAATTGAAAATACTTTTCCTCATCTCAAAAATCTCAAGTTACTATTATGTGATCCTTAAAACCTCCTAAATGCATTTCAAACTTTTTTTTTAGTAAAACTTTATAATTTATTTGTTATTTTTTGTACCCTATCTCAAAACAGGAGCAGTCAATTTGACCGACCTTGTAACCACCAAAAAAAAATCGAAATAAACCTAAATTACCCCCTTTTTTTCTTTGTAGAATAACTTGAAATTGTAATATGAAACTACATTTGTTTATCTTA